CGTTAAACACCGCGTTGCTACTCCATATCATCCACAAACCAGCAGGTAAGTTTAGGTATCTAATCGGCAGTTGAAGAGAATACTTGAAGTCACTGTGAATTCATCTAGAAAGGATTGGTCTAAAAAGCTGGACGATGCATTATGGGCTTACAGAACAGCATTCAAGACCCCGATCAGCATGTCTCCATACCGCCTAGTCTTTGAAAAAGCGTGTCATCTGCCACTAGAAATGGAGCACCTGGCATACCGGGCTATGAAACAGTTGAATATGGACTTGAGCGCCGCCGGTGAAAAGCGCCTACTGCAACTCAATGAGTTAGATGAGTTTAGAATGGAAGCTTACGAAAATTCAAAACTTTACAAGGAACGAACCAAGAAGTGGCACGACATGCATATTCAGAGGTGAGAGTTTGAAGTGGGGCAAAAAGTGCTATTGTATAACTCTAGACTCAAACTTTTCCCAGGAAAACTAAGATCAAGGTGGTCGGGTCCTTATACTGTCACGAAGGTCCTACCATATGGGGCTATACAAGTGAGCCATGAGACTAAGGGTACCTTCACTGTTAATGGGCAAAGACTGAAACACTACTGGGGTGGTGACTTCTCCAACCAAAAGTCCACCGTTCAACTTGAGATGCCAGAATGAAGCAGCTACAGAAAAGTCGAGCTATCGACTATAACCTCGCGCTGGGTGGGAGGCAACCAACTGTATCATTTTCAATTAATTTATTATGCTCTCTGCATTAGATTAGAAATTATTTTTTTTCAATTTCATTTTGCACTTTCTTTATGTGGTCATCGATCATCCATACATGTTAAAAGAGTCCAAGCACTATACACACGAGTCGGGTTGATTGGAGTAGTTTGGGAGATTGGGTGTGAAATTCACATATTTCGAGGTAAATTTTGTTTTCTAAATTTCACATGTCAATGTGTGACTTGAAAAAATAATTTGGTTTTGGGTACTAAGTTTATGACCCATACACATCTCAAAATATTTAGAAGTATGTTTTTGAAAAAAATTGGGGACGTTGAGAGCCGGGTCAATTCATCAAGTGAAAACCACAATTTTAGTCAAAAGTCGGGTTTTTGGGGATATCATTTCATTTTATTTTTATTTTATTCCTGCTATTAATTCTTTCGAAAAAAATATATATATTTCACTCATGCAACCTGCGACCGCACAAACACAACCCGAGATTCAAGTGGCCAAAGCCACTTGAACCATGCGGCCGCATGGTAAAACTAAGGCGTGGGTTTTTAACCCACGCCCGATCCCCTCTTTCCGCTCTTTCCCAAACTCCCTCCCAACCAAACCTTCCTAGGGGACGATTTTACGCTCGAGTTACATATTATACACACACATCTCAT